GTGGGGGCCGCGCCGGGGTGCCGCGCGAACTGCCGGCGCCCGCGCGGCACAAACTCCTACACAACACACACACACAACGTGTACTGTTACTGCGATTCTCGCAACTCTGCCCCCGGCAGGTATCAGCTGCAGGCAGTTTCATCCCATCAGGAGCTTGAACATCAACGTATTGACGTCACTATGGCGACGTTCAAGCTCCCGAGTGAATGAAATCGTCAACAGCTGATACCTGCCAGACGCATAATTGCATGAATCGCAGTTCACGTCCATCAACAGCTATAACACTCACATTGTTGTTTAAAAGATCGATAATAAAAATAAAAGATACATAAATTTAAGCCCTGTGGCACATCTCGAAGAAAGTCTCAAGAACATTTTCAACTCTTTCACAGCATAGACAACAGCTCATGCACTTACTGACGTTTACCAACAGCTCCCTACACCTAAACACTCATGTGTAAATTCACAATGTTGTTGAAAATCCCGATAACAAAAATTAAAATGGATACATAAGTTTGAGCCCTGAGGCACACCTCAGAAAAAGTCTAAAAAACATGTTCATTTTTCTTAAAAAGTGGCTCCAATTTATATTTTAAGATTGAGACATGTACCATTTTACGTGCGTTTTTGTTCTGTTTCTTCTTATTTTCCTTTAAAGCTAATAAAATATTTGGTTGCGATATTCAGTATAGTCCAACTGTAGAAATTGTTATGTAGCACAAATTGTTACTTTCTCGCCCTTTAGAAGGGTTTTCTTCAGAGAATGTTATGAATGGTGTGGGGAAAAAGAGGGGAATTTTCTGCAGAAAAACTTTGTTTGCCGGGCCCTTGTAACGAAAAACGTGGATATATCCAGTTCCTAATTTAATTTTAAAAAAAGAAACTCGAACACGTGGTGTAGCCAAAATCCATGTTTTGTGGGTCCTTGGTACCGAAAAAATCGAATAACGGCAAAACGTCTGTCTCTGAACAACGCTAGCGCCTACACCGTTCAGCCCATTTTCTCCAAGACTGATATCTTTCAATTGATTTGGCTGATGTCACGGCCTCTTGAATTCGACACCTATATTTTAATTTGTTTTGGGTGGGGGTGGGGAGTACTTCACATGAAGACCCTGGGACATTTTCAAAATGTTCCCATCGTTTTGGATTAAATTTTGTTGTTGGATAATGTGAAGGACGTTTGAGAGAATGGCCCGTTTCATTTTCGTTGAAAATCCTAATTTATAGAAAATTTCAAAAATTACAATTTTTTTCGGGGTCTTCCTACAACTACAATTTTGAAGATTTTTTTTCTTAATGAAATATGTTCACCAAAACAGTACTTCAAGGTCATGTTCAATATTTCGAGAATATGAGTATTTTTGGGTATATTTAGATGAAACATAGGCGCTTTTAAAACCATTTTAAACAAGTTTCTCAGAAACGACTTCAAATTTTGTCTTTCATTTTTATCTTCGAATGTAGCAAATAACTGTAAAGATAGTGCTTTATGGTCGTATTTTCGGCGCACTCTGCATTCTCGAAAATTGCAAGAAAAAAACTTCAGAATTGTAAAAACGAATTTCGCGCTCTTTGATTCAGAAGTTGCCAGTCCGGAAAATAGCAACACTAATTGTATGATGTAGATAATATTTTTATGAAAGGAAATAGAATGAAGGTAATAAACTTTAACTTATCAACACACTTCTGTACTTTAAGATTACTGATTATGGTATTACAGATTATTTAATTACGGATTGCGGTACAAAAAAATTGAATGCTCATTTCAAATGTAATCAGACTGGTATGAAATTATTCTTGCTTTTCTGTATTATGTTCTGTAAATTCTGAGACATTTAAATTCATTCGTCGCCTAGCGGGGAAGCGCGCGTTGAAAGCTACAATACGCGCGTTATCTTGACTTCGTATCTTGACCGTTTTGCTCCAGCGTGACGTCCGTCAACGCAATGCTCGTGTGACACAGGACTAAAGGATAAGAATAAAAATTATGCTACATAACTATTTCTACAATTAGAGTATACTGAATATCCGAACCATATTTTTTAATTTAAAGGGAAAAAGATGGAAAAGAAAAAATAATGAGACATGGATTTTTATGTGCGTTTACATTCTACCTGAAAACAAAAATTGAACAAACACTTTGGAGCCACTTTTGAGAAAAATGAAAATGTTTTTGAGGCTTCATGTGAAGTACAACCAAATATTAAAATACACAAAAAATCCGAGGGGCCCGCGGCATCAGCCAGATCGACCACGTAATATCAATTTTGGTGAAATTTCTGTCTTTTTAGCCGCTAGCATTGTTCATAGACGGACACACCGACAGATATTTTGCCGTAAAAAATGTATTGTTATCGATGTTCCCCAACACGTGTATTCTGGTTAGATGTGTTACATGTCACTGGTTAGATGTGTTACTTGAACAGAGTTTTCCAACATATCATAATCAGGGCTCCACTTTACGAGTTTTCAGTGGAAAGTGTCTGTTTTTTGATATAGCATTACATATTTCTTTTAATACTGACTAAGCGGCCCTGGAGATTGAAACTGTCAATCATTACTAGAACATGATTCCCAGATTATGTCGGCGAGGGAAACAGGATACTCTTCTCGGATGCACACATGCCTTTCAGTTGATTGACTCACATTTAGTATTTCCGAGTGCGTCAGCTGCTATCGTTAGTCCCGTAAATGTGTAAATGTTTCGCCACCTGAAGTAGCGATAATCTTTCCAAGCTGGATAGTGAAATGCGGAGCCGATCTATCGGGTGCATGGTTTTCCCCATGCAGATGTCCCACCAGCGAGGCACCTCCCCAGTCGGGATAAGCTCTAAGCTTCCTACCAGTCACCCGACATGTGTGGTATTACTTTCGCAACTTTTCTTGAACGATGACCTTGATCCCCCTCCCTTGTGCAATAAACAGTTGAAGGCAAAAGCTCGCAGCGGGCACTGATGACAACCTTCCAAGCATTAAAACTTCGTTGGCGCGA